GCCAATAAACCCATTTCATTTTGGAGACATTACCTGCCAAGGTTGGAGATCTTGAAGTTGATTTTTTTACCTCTCATCTGATTGAATCTAGATGAGTACATGGCATGCACTGCATGAGCCACAGAATAGACAGCGTTGTAGATACCATAGCTGTGGCCAGTCATGCGCATTTCAAAAACAGCCCCTGGAAGACTCTCCAGCTTCTCCTCTCCAGTACACGTTCTATCAACTTTTGCTGCTGCTTCAGGATTTGGAAATGAACAGTTGAATGCTTGCTCCCAGAAGTCCTTGAGGAAACCATCTCCTTGTGAACAATGAAGCCTTGCATTCTGAAGATATGTCTGGAACCCTAAAGGTTCTTCGGAGTGAATTGCAAAGGAAATTGTGCCTTCAAATATTTCAAAATCCCAACCTCTTATGAGACCAGTTACGGAAAAATCAATCTGGGCTGTCATGACCCACACCTTTCCAACTGAACTGTTTTCCTTATATTCAGGAGCAACTACAACAATTAAAGTGATCAGCCACATTACAGTCATTGTTTCACCATATATAATAAATGTTCTCGCTTTCATATCCATGAAAGGCTTGTAAATATTTTGGGCCTGATCATTAAGATCTTCAAACCCGTGGAAATTGCCTTGGTTTGGGATTCTTTCTGAAAAAGCTGTGCATATTCCATTTTGAGAAAGCAATGGCTCCAGGGTCTGCAAGAAATGGTCTCCGCTTTCATCATCCACAGCAAGAAGCCCAATCCAGGTCCATCTGAAATGCTGCAGTAACCAGATGATCCCTGTATATTGGTGGGTCTCACTTGCAACCATGCTATAAAAGGAACGGGCCTGTGTTGTGACACTTTGCTCTGGAGCAAATGAACCATATGTGAGCTAAAAAGGAATGCACAGCTACTTTAGAGATGGAATCAAAATTTGGTGAGGCAAAAGACCAATCTATATTTCCAGCTCTGGTTAAAATGTGTTTTTCAATCTCCTGCTTCAATAAAATATTGAATTGCATGTTGGATTTTGTGAATAACCCAGTTCCTTGTGCAAGGATCTTACCTGTGGGATCTTGTAGAGACTTAATATGTCAGCCATATGAAAGGAGATATCAGAGGCAAGGCCCCCAATAATGGCTATTAGGTTTTTCTGCGTGCCACATGCATAGTTGGGGAGAAATGTATGTGATTTGAAAAGCAGGTCCAGAATGGTACGATACGCCATCCTCTCAATGTAGTAACTGTCGTAGATGTGGAACCCAAGTGTGGCATTGGGCAAGACTTTGGGATTCTCATTTATCGTTTTTATAGCAAACACCAAGGCCAGGACATGCTGATAGAACTTTGTCACCATTCTGCAAAGAAAATCATAAGCTCTTTCACAACTAAATTCTACGGTGAGTGTGAAATATTTTATCATAGAACTTTTCTCCATCATAAATGCAATGAGCTTTGGCCATCATTATATTAAGGAAGAAAAACTATCACAGTGGCTGCAAACAAGGAAAGGAGATGGAGAAAGCAGTAAATTGCAAATCCATTTCAGTTTGACGTGTTCCATCCAGTTTCTCTCTAAATTTATCCACTTTGGTAAAATGTAAGTTTAATCAGCTAACAGCATGCATAGTCCTTAACATTTATGCATAAGGAATTTCTGGATCATATTGTAATGTGCACCACCATAGATATGGTGACCAGCTGTTTGCCACCTTCCAAATCTTAAGTGGAGTGTGTATGCATATTTCTGGATCGTATTGTAATTCCTATACTAAAATCCATAGGTTTCCAAGCTCACAAGACACCAGGAGGCAGGGAGGAGTCTCTTACATTGGAACATCAAAGCCTTGTTCCTCAGAAGGGTGGACCTGGAAGGACACTTTGTAGGAAAGAAAAAGGATCTGAGAAGTAATCCCACCAATGATGAGACCTTCAGGTTGATACCACTCATGAGGCACTGGGAGGGCATCACTTCTAGGACATGTAATGGTATTTGCCTTGCACACCATGTGTGATAACAAAAGCAGCAACACCATCACCAATGCAGCCATCTCTCGAGATGGTCATTAGCTTCCTTATAACTGGCATCAATTTAAGTCAAACAAGCAGCATTACAAAACTGCCAACTCCACCAATAAGCTTCATAAATATATGACTTTTCTTTAACATGTCAGTTAACAAGCCTTGAGGGAAACAGCTCTGCACTGATTTGATCAGATGTTAGCACAAATTCAAGGTATATAACCAGATTCAGATTGGGTGGGGAAAACTGCTTGAAGTTGTCATGGAGAATCAATTATTTGAGGTAATTGCAGGAATAATTACTTGTGCAAAGTCTGGCATCAGTAAACATGTTTTTCCACTCCTTTACTCCCTCATTGGAAAATAGACAGAAGATGCGTTCACAATGATCCCAGTGAAAAATAGGGAGAGAGCTATGACATAGGAACAAATGAGAGGGAACCTTTAGCTTATGAAACATGAGTTCTATATTTCCTCAATACCCTTTTTTCAGGTTATAGCTGGCAGCTATACCTCAGGCCTATTTTTGCTTTGCCTTCAGTATAACATAAGGCATTTCTGGATCATATTGTTATGTGCACCCTAATTTCACATGATAAGAGATTTCATGCGCCAGCATCTATGTTTGGTTTGGTTGCCTTACCATGAAAGTCAGCAGAGGCTGGTGTGTGTGTGTGTGGATGTGATATATCATTTTGTATTTACAAGTATATACAGGATGAGCATTAAATGAATGGGCTCATGCTACCTCATTAGGTTTCTACCCAAATCCCAAGCCTCCACCTTAGCTTTGAATCCAGCATAGATTCAAGCTTCCCTGAGTCTGCCTAGCCCAGCCCAAGGTAGTTTGGACAGTCTTTGCCTTTTGGGGGCAAATTTCCAAACAGTAAGCTTCACGGGTTTGAGGTGGTCTTCTAAAAAGCTTTCGGGGCAACCCCCCCCCCCATTTCATGAAATATGGCAACCCTAGAATGTGGTATATGTGGGACTTCCATTGGGCTTGGTCCCGAAGCTGCAGCTGATGCAAAATGCTGTGACCACGTTGATGCACGAAAATTACATACGTGCTGAGGTTACTGTGTTAAAACTAAAAGTTTAATATGCATAAAATGTAATGTTTATATGTGTCAGGGAACTGCCATCGGAGCTAGAGGCGGAGGGAGGGCTCCAGATGGAGAGGGTCCTAGTAGGGAGAGAGGCAGCCCATCTACGGGGGAAGAAAATCAGCGTAACACCAGTGGAGAAGGGGGGCAGATGGGGGAATCGGAGGGGAGGCTGCAGGACTCTTCACTGGAGACCAGCGGAGAGAGTACAGGTACTCCGCTGCCCACACCCTCCCTGCGCAGGAGACTTTTGCGCAGTGAGAGTAGGAGGAGACTTGGCGTCAAACAGCTTTTATGCTGGAAAAGGTTCAAGAGACGCCCACTGACGGATTCTGCCAGCGACTGAGACAGCCACGAAACTTGAGGCTGTCCAGACAGAGAGGGTTCAACCAGGCAACCTAGCCAGGAGTGGCAGCAACTTACGCACGAGCAACCCCTAGAACCATTACAGTATGCATTGCATTTAAAATGCTATGTAGAGAAGCTTGCATTGGGAAGAGAGGTTGGTATGTCCCCCAAAAACCAGAGGTGGAACCAGAGAGGAAGGACTTGGGCTGGATCCTAAGCCCATTCACTTTGGCCTTGTGACCTGGCAACCTAGCAACACATATACACCAACTTTTAGAACGTTGCTTAATGGGTCATGTTTCTGTGTTGATACACAAGTTTGTTACGTGTTTTTATTAAAACAAAACAAAACATTTTAAGCAGGTCCTGTTTTATGCCGAACAAAGTTTGGAACCAGGCAGAGGGCCTTCTTGGTAGTGGTGCACGCCCCGTGGAACGCCCTCCCATCATATGTCAAGGAAATAAACAACTATCCAGCTTTTAGAAGACATCTGAAGGCAGCCCTGTTTAGGGAAGTTTTTAACGTTTGATGTTTTAGCCTGTTTTTAATGTTCTGAGGAGAGCTGCCCAAAGTGGCAGGGGGAACCCAACCAGATGGGTGGGGTAGAAATATATTTTATTATTATTCTTATTATGGACCTGGTATAACTCCTTGTTCATACGATTGCTTCATTAGATTATATGGGGAAATTTTATGTGTTCTACTACACCCTACAAAAATATGATCAGGCAGTCACTTAAATATAGGCATTTCACATTACTGCCCTTGTATTATTCAATGTCCTATATGGAAGAGCATTGATCAGTTGCTTCATGTTGGATCCTGTCTTTATTTTTATTTATTTGAGTGCCCCTCCCCCCTTTTTAATGTGCTTTTATACTACTGTTTTACTGGTTTCATGTTGTATCTTTGTTTTAATTATATAGTTGATAATTTTTTTGTTATACATTGTTTAAGAGATCTTTTTGAACATTTAAGGTAAAGGTAAAGGTACCCCTGCCCGTACGGGCCAGTCGTGAACGACTCTGGGGTTGCGCGCCCATCTCGCTTAAGAGGCCGGGGGCCAGCGCTGTCCAAGGACACTTCCGGGTCACGTGGCCAGCGTGACGAAGCTGTTCTGGTGAGCCTGCACCAGCTCAGCACACGGAAACGCCGTTTTACCTTCCCGCTATAAAGCGGTACCTATTTATCTACCATTTATCTACTTATCTACTGGGTGCTTTTGAACTGCTAGGTTGGCAGGAGCAGGGACCGAGCAACGGGAGCTCACCCCGCCGCGGGGATTTGAACCGCCGACCATACGATCGGCAAGTCCTAGGCGCTGAGGTTTTACCCACAGCGCCACCTGCGTCCCTTTTGAACATTTAGTGGTATATAAATACCTTTTTAAATAAAAAAAAGCACCCCCAATCATCAAAGACAGTTTTTGCCACCACAAACACTAGGAAGTGTATAAAAAAGGGACTCTGAAAGAGTTTTGCCAACCCTAACCCTCCCCTCTATGGTCCTAAAAGCTTATGCTACACCGTAATTATAAACCAGACTGGTTCTTTTTCCTAATTAAGTGCTCCCGGTTGTTCAGCTCAGGCCTCAGCACAATGATGTAGCACTTAGGGAAAAAGATGCAACCCAGTAACCCAGCACTGGAGGCCAAGATGGAGAAGATCTCCACAGCCACCATTTCTTTGCCTTTTGAGCTCAGGTAAGATGGGAAAAAGGAAACCCACACACTGCAAAATGCCAGCATGCTAAAGGTAATGAACTTGGCTTCATTAAAACTGTCTGGTAATTTGCGGGCTAGGAATGCCACAAGGAAGCTGACAGTGGCCAGGAGGCCCATGTAGCCCAGGACACAGTAAAACATGGTCACTGAGCCTTCGTTACACTGCAGAATGATTTCTTCTGTTACAGAGTGCATGTCTAAATCAGGGAAGGAAGGAGAGCTTGCTAACCACGCAATACAAATGCTTGCTTGAATGAGAGAGCAGGAAAGGATTATAGAGCTGGACATTTTTTTACCCACCCATTTCTTCATTCTTGACCCTGGCTTTGTGGCCATGAATGCTAGGGAAACAAGGATGGTTTTTGCCAACACACATGAAACAGCGACAGAGAAGATGATGCCAAAAGCAGGTTGTCGGAGAAGGCAGGTCACTTCCCCAGGTTTTCCCAAGAATAGCAAAGAAGATAAGAAGCAGAACAGGAGAGAGACCAGGAGAGCATAGGTGAGGGCCCGGTTATTGGCTTTGACAATTGGTGTGTCTTTGTGCTTAATAAAAATTCCTAACATTATGGCTGTGATCAGTGAAAAGGAAACAGCAACTGAGGCTAAACTGATTCCTAAAGGGTCTTTGTAAGATAGGAAGCTTGTAGTTTTGGGTCTGCATTCATTTTGGTCCATGCTTGGAAATTTCTCCTCTGGGCATTGCAAACATTCATCCATATCTGAAACATAGAAATGAGTTTCTTTTCAATGTCAGATCATAGGTAACATAGACTGTTCAGCATCTCTCGTGGAATTTGTTGTTCATGCTCACTTCCGTTGGTGCCAAAGATTTTATGAAACCAACTTAAATATTCCTTCCATTGTGCCAAAGCTTACTATCAACATTTGGCTGCTGCGTTTACAATGCTTGCCTTTAATCAAACTAAACTTACATTCTTCTTTTTTCAATATATTTTAAGCATATGTACAACTGTTTTTTCTCCCTCTCTCATAATACTCTGAAACACGGGGGTAGTTGGGATTTATTTTAGGGGGGCAGGCTTTATGTTAGGGGGCAGAACTGAATTATCTGTGATGCAACTGGTCAGTTAGTTAAGTATTTTTATTACTTGATTTATGGGAGCAGCTGCCCTCCTGCACCTCCCTGGCCACGCAAATGTTCTGTAACATTCTATGCAACCATTTTTTATATATATTATGAAATTTCATTCATTTTGGGTTCCAACCACTGAAATTGTATCAGTTCCTAATATTGCAATGGAAAACCTGCTTTCTTTTGCTTTAAATACACTAGTTATTTTTCTGCCTGTAGCTTCTCTTTCTAAGCAAGTAAAAATGAAGCAGTTAATGAACGCTTTATATTTGTTTTGTGTTCATCCATTTAAATTCCCATTTATATTGATTCATTAAACAGTAATGATTTTAAGACAAACAATGAATGTGCATTCTTAATGACTAGCTAGCCAAACATATATCTCTCATGTATCACAAGTTACCACTTGCAAAAGACAATGTGACTAAATAATGTCTATTAACTCTGCATGATGGGGAACCTGAAGTACTTTGTAACCTACCCTTCTTGTCAGAGAACTTCCCTCCTGGGCATGGAACACAATCATAGCAGCAAAAATTTTTCCCTTCCTTCCTTTTCTTCTGATTGCCAGGTTGGCAGTGTTCATTGCACATAGAGAGTGGGACAACCTATTCAGTACATGAAAGGAGTTAAGTTTGGAAAAAATAAGGAAGAGCTTTCAATTGTTGACCTGGAAATAAATAAGTTGAGGACCACACAGTTGAGCAACATACCCCATTGAAACAAAAAGGGTCAGGTGGTGACAAATGAAAAAAATCTTATCTCTATCTTTTAGAGCCAATTTCACATTTAACCAATGCATGGTAAATTTTCCCCTCTACAGAAAAGGTGGAATTTTCAAAATTTGAATAGAAATTTGTTGCACCTTGTTTTTGAAAATAATGGTTAACAGTAACAGTGAGTTTATTTTAGTTTTGTTAATATCGATACCTGGTTAAAGCCTCTGTGCCACATGATTATATCTTTATTAATGGTCAATTCCTTTCCTTCAGGAGCCTCGGGATCTAGCCATCCAATTTTTACTCTCTTGAAGGACTTGTTTGGAAATATGACTATATTCATGATGTCAAATCCACCTATTCTTTCCCTTTTTTCATTAAAGGACACAGTTTCTCCAGCTGAGTTGTTAAATGAAATTCTTTGAAGAAATGGGTGGAGCTAATTGATAGAAAAAAGAAATGATGGAAGTTGAAAAATAGAGGGAAATACCATGAGACTGGAGATTTCACCTTTCCTTACTACTGTCATTTATATATTTTATGTACCATAGACCTGGTATGAACACTGAACTAGAGTGACATAGAAAATGGGGAATTTTCAATTATTAAGGTGTACAGCTCAACTTTATCTGTTGTACATAGAAGAGAAACCCAGATGAAACTTGATATTATACTACCGTATTTTTCGGACTATTGGACGCACCGGTCCATAGGACGCACCTAGATTTGGGGGGGGAAATAAAGGCAAAAAAAATTTATTCCCCCCCCGCCAGGCGCGGGGCTGGGGCGGGGAAGCCCGAGCTTCCCCCTCCCCCAGAATGGGACCCAGAGCCATGCCGAAGCTGCGCGCAGCTTTGGCATCGCTCTGGGAGCTTGCGGGGGTGGGGGAGGAGGAAGCCTTCCGCCAGCCTCCAAACCATGTCGGGAGACAGCGGGATGGCGCGCTGCGCCTCTCCCGCTGTCCCCCGAGTTTGCGGGGCTGGGCCAGCCTTCTAACCAAGTCGGGGACAGCGGGAAGGGCGCGCTGCGCCCCTGCCGCTGTCTCCCGAGTTTGCGGGGCTGGCGACGGGGAGGAGCAGGCTTCTCCCCCCGCCAGCCTTCTAGACAAGTCGGGGGACAGCGGGAAGGGCGCGCTGCGCCTCTCCCGCTGTCCCCCGAGCTTGTGGGGCTGGCGGTGGGGCTCTCCTGAAGCCTGGAGGTTGTGGGGCTGGTGGGGGGGGAGAAGCAGGCTTGCTTCTCCCACCCCCAGCCTCCAGATCAGGTCGGGGAATAGCGGGATGGCGGAGCACCGCCATCCCGCTATTCCACGACCTGATCTGGAGGTTGTGGGGCTGGGGGGGGGAGAAGCAGGCTTGCTTCTCCCGCCCCCAGCCTCCAGTTCAGGTCGGGGAATAGCGGGATGGCGGAGCGCCGCCATCCCGCTATTCCACGACCTGATCTGGAGGTTGTGGGGCTGGGGGTGGGGGGAGAAGCAGGCTTGCTTCTCCCACCCCCAGCCTCCAGATCAGGTCGGGGAATAGCGGGATGGCAGAGCGCCGCCATCCCGCTATTTCCCGACCTGATCTGGAGGTTGTGGGGCTGGGGGGGGAGAAGCAGGCTTGCTTCTCCCACCCCCAGCCTCCAGATCAGGTCGGGGAATAGCGGGATGGCGGAGCGCCGCCATCCCGCTATTCCCCGACCTGATCTGGAGGTTGTGGGGCTGGGGGGGGGGAGAAGCAGGCTTGCTTCTCCCACCCCCAGCCTCCAGATCAGGTCGGGGAATAGCGGGATGGCGGAGCGCTGCCATCCCGCTGTTCCCCGACCTGATCTGGAGGTTGTGGGGATGGTGGGGGGGGGAGAAGCAGGCTTGCTTCTCCCACCCCCAGCCTCCAGATCAGGTCGGGGAATAGCGGGATGGCGGCGCTTCGCCATCCCCCTATCCCCCGAGCTTGTGGGGCTGGGGGGGGAGAAGCAGGCTTGCTTCTCCCCCCGCCAGCCTCCAGATCAGGTCGGGGAATAGCGGGGTGGCGGCTCTGCGCCTCCCCGCTGTCCCCAGCTTTTGGGTGCAGGCTGCTGCCCGCAAGCCTTGCGAGCCCGCGGGACATCCCGCCGGGCTTGCAAGACTTGGGATAGCTTCCTGAAGCCTGGAGAGCGAGAGGGGTCGGTGCGCACGGACCCCTCTCGCTCTCCAGGCTTCAGCAAAAGCCTGCATTCGCACCATAGGACGCACACACATTTCCCCTTCATTTTTGGAGGGGAAAAAGTGCGTCCTATAGTGCGAAAAATACGGTAATCTGTCAGTTTACAAAGTAAAAATAAAAATGATTTTGTAATGCCAACATTACCTGCCAAGGCTGTAGATCTAAATGTTCAATAGTGTTACCGTTAGCCACTGCTCTGTTATGGGATTTAGATGAGTACATGGCATGCAAAGCGTGAGCCACAGCATAAAGACCATTATAGATACTGTAGCTGTGGCCAGTCATGTCCATTTCAAAAAGAGGCACAGGAAGGCTCTCCAGCCTCTCCTCCCCACTACACATTCCATCAGCTTCCAGCAGCTCTTGGGGATTTGGAAACATGCAGTCAAATGCTTGCTCCCAGAAGTCTTTGAGAAAACCATCTCCTTTGGTCCAGGAAGGTTTTATGATCTCAAGAAAGTCCCTGAATCCTAAAACACCCTTGGAGTGAATCGTGAAGGAAATGGTACCTTGGAAAAACTGAAAATCCCAGCCCCTTTGAATGCCCGGTGAAATTAAATCAATCTGAGTTGTCAGAATCCACAATTTTTTAAATGATTTATTTTCCTTATTGCCAGGATCTCGTAGAAATATAATAGTTCTCAGCCATGCAATTGTCAAAGATTCTCCATACAGGATAAATGCACTGACCTTGTTATCCCTGAAATAGTCATAAATATTTGAGGCAATATCAATAATTCTATCCAAGTCATCCAAGTAGATTATTTGTGGGATTACTTTTGTGAAGGCTGAACAGATTCCATTCTGGAAAAACAATGGCTCCAGGGTCTGCAGGAATTGTTCTCCACTATTATTATCAACAGTAAAGAGCCCAACCCATGTCCATTCAAAATACAGAAGTAATCGGACAATCCCTGTGTACTGAAGGGCGTCATTAGGGACAATACTGTAGAAGGAAGCGACCTGAGCTGTCTGAAATTCCTGTGGGGCAAATGAACCATAGGTGACCTGAAAGAAAACACACATTGTAGAGAAACATTGGGAGATGTGTATTTTTGTGCATGTGTATGTAAAAACAAAACAAAAATGTTGAAACAATTTAAAGGTTTGGTGACCAGGTCCAGTCAAAGGCTTTTCTCATGGATTTTTTTCTGAAGTAACATTTCTGGGATTTTTGTTTTATTGTCTTCCTCTCTCTTTTTGTACTAAAACATTACTCACAGAATGACGCAATAAGAGTGTTGTTTGCCTCAATTCCTCCTCTCCAATACATAACTCTTACCTGTGGGATCTTGTGGAAGCCTAAAATTTCTGCCATAAGAGAAGAGGTATCAGAGCTAAGTCCACCAATGGTGGCTATAAGTTTTTTCTGGGTGTTGCAGTTGTAATTGAGGACAAGCCTGTGGGATTTGAAGAGAAGGCTGAGAGTGCTTTTATAGGTTGCTCTTGCATCAAAGTAGCTGTCATAGATGTGGAATCCCAAAGTGATGTTGGGCAGGACCTTTGGGTTCTCGTTGATCTCCCTCACAGCAAATGCCATGGCAAGGACATGTTGGTAGAATTTTGTCACCATACTGAAAATAGAGAGATAGCTTACTATTAGAGGAGAGAATTCAATAGTACAGAAAGCAATTTTTTGGAACATCACAATGCCAATGGGGTTTCTTTTGCCTCAAATATTTAGATCATAAACAAGAAAAGCCTGTGTTCATTACTACTGTTTCTGAATTTCCCCCTTCATCCAAGATTCTAAAAAGAGCATCTGCCTTATCTATAGGAGTTCCCAGACACAATCCCCGGCATCTCTATGTAGAGCAGAAATTTCAAAAGCAGTCACATACTAAGGTTAGGCTAAGGTTGCTGGGTACCACATTCCATCCCTGCCCCATCACAAAATCTATTGGGACACCTTTTGCCATGCTCTTTCTAAGCACAAGAACTTTACCCCAGAGCTTTCCCCCGAAAGCCTGTTCTTTAAAGCTTTCTTTAAAGAGCAGCAAAGGGCAATTCAGGTTTTCTGCAGATTGCTTTAAAGAGCAATTTTTAATGGGGAAAGTTCTGAATCAAAGAAAGCATGGCTCTGTGCCTGGAAAGAGTTGGTCAAATGGTAAGTGTGGACAAGCCTCTTGTTTGAGGGTTTTCCTCTGGGCTACAGCTGGTGGGAGAAATCCCAGCATTATCTTTCCGCAGTGTTGAGCAGAGCAGATGTCTGGAATCCTCCTCGCTAGCACAGCCCAGGGACATGTCACCTGTGCCTTACCCTAACCCACTCCAGTATTATGGGTTGAAAGTTAAGATTGCACTCTACATTGAAACCCTTATTATATTATTATATTCAGGTGATGTGTCATGAAAGCGTTTGGTCATCGTCGTTTGTAAGGCACTGATCAGAATGCAATTGTGTTTCATCCTACCTCTTTTCAGGGGAAATTAAAATCATCCTATTTCAAATACTGCCAGAATTATAATTTTTTGTTTGTTTTTAAAGTTTTGCTATTGTAAAACATGCACCGAATTTTCCACTCTATAAGACGGACCCGACCATAAGACGCACCTAGTTTTAGAGGAGGAGAACAAGGAAAAAAATATTCTCTCCCTCTCTGCTCAGCGGCTCTCCAGCAGAGCGGGAGGAGGAATGGAAGGGGCTCCGTTTCTCCTCCCGCTTCGCTGAAGGGGCACTGCGCAGAGAGGGAAAGCTGTGCAGCGCCTCTCCAGCAAAACGAAGCCAGGAGAGCAGCGCAGCCTTCATTCGCTCCATAAGACACACACACATTTCCCCTTACTTTTTAGGAGGGGAAAAGTGTGTCTTATAGAGCAAAAAATACGGTACTATATTCCTGCACCAGGTGACAGGTGAGCAAACAAGGTAACTGAGTCCCTCCTGTTGATTCACTACTGCCAATAACTGGAGGTTTTTATTTCCAGGCTACATCCACTCAACATCCCTTATTGACTGACTGAACAAGCTCTCAATGCTGGGTAGAGTGTATCATACAATTGTCGCATAAATCTCCCCACATGCAAATTTGGGGAGGGGGGAAAAATTGCCCTCTGCATCACCATGTGACATTCCAAAGAAAAATACCCTTCATTATTTGAGCAAAAAGTCCACATTTACTGTAGAGTTAACAACATACACAAGACTCAGCAGGTGACTGGGATGGAGGCAGATAAAGGGAACTTCCTTTGAACATCCTGTCTCTCATACAAACCCATTTAGGAACATAGTAGGGAGGGGAAAATTCCTTACTCTGGAACCTCAAACAGTTTTTGAGAAGGGTGTTCCATGAAGAAAATTTCCTGCAAAGGGTAAGTGAACTGAGAAACAATCCCACCAATGACAAGGGCTTCTGCTTGGCACCACTCATGCTGAACAGGGATGGGATCGTTCATGGAGCACTTGATATCTACTTTGCACATCTTGGGAGGTAGCAGAAGTAGGAACAACAACAGCCACAACATCCGGGTAGCAAAGCTTTTCACTGGACATATGCTCTCCTATAACAGTTCATAGGAGCTTCCTGACTTGAAGACTGTACATTTAATGGTGCCTAGCTCTGCCAATAAACTGCTATCTATATCAGTCTTTCAGTACAGTATCAACAAGGATACAGATGCGGGCTTTGAGTACTAGCAGAGATGTCAACATTTTAATTCCAAGTCTGGTTGAGAAGGGGAGGGGGGAAATGGGAAATATCCTAAAGGAAACTGACAGAGCCCTGCCTGCCTCTTGCCCTTACTTTTGCTCTCCATGGCAAACAGGTTTATTTAGAGCCACTTCCAGAGTTGTTTCTTGATCATTTTCTCCTGTTGTCTAGGAAAGCTTGGGAGCTTTGGGACAGGTGAACAAATTATAGTGATTTGGATACCTGCAGGCAAAGATAATTAGTTCTTTAGATTTATGTGGCACTTTTAATACCAAAGATCTCATTTGTGTGTTTCTCCCAGATCTGAAGCCAAGAATCATTTGGTCCTTACGGAATAAAAAGTGGCAGGTGGTTATGAGATTCTCACAGGGAGCAATAACTCACAAACAAGAGGAAGGAATCTGTTCAATGACACTTTGTAACTAACTTCATGGAAGTTTTTATATATACATACATACATACATACATACATACATACATATAGAGAGCATATGCTTTTAGTGACCCTGCTGCTTCATCAGCCACTGAGTTGGAAATGGGGAGCACAAGGTGGAAAAGACAGATACAAGTTGTCCAAGAAGAGAAAACCTGGAGTTGTTAAATGGACAATAGTTGTATAAATTAATGTAGAATCTTTGCAATGACCAAAGGAATGTTAATCTCTGATAAGCCCCTGCCATGGATATTAGAGAAATATAAATGGTGACCCAAGAAGTCTTTGCTCTGGTGTCTACTGTATCATTTTATTTAGTTTAAATAAACCTTCCTTGAGCTCTTGCTCTTAAATAGCTGGTTATTAATTTTTGCTGCCTATGATCTCACAGGAATATTGATAAAGAATGAAATTACATTATAGCTAGCATCTTCCCCTCTGCATTTTACTCCTTTTTTATAAATATTTTTATTAATTTTCAATTGCTAAAATCCAATATAAACCACATTCTTTTAATACCAAAGTACAATTCAAATTCAAATATATGTCAATTAAAAAGTCATTTATATATTTGGTCTCCTGCGTGCTAGATTTCAAGGTAAGATGATTTTATTTCATCCTGCTTCCAAATTCTTATTTAATTTAATTACATCCCGTCTTGATCTTAGTCACTTAGCAGCAGCTATAGAATTTTTGACTTCCATTTGTATTAACACATTTAATAATTTTTATTTCTGCAAGAGGAGTTCTGTATCCTTTATAATTCCTGTGTGTGATTCCTGTGTTGTGATAATTCCTGTGTTGTTTTATATTTGTATTTATTTATTTTGTCCATGTTGTTTCTTTATTCTTCCTGGTCTCCATCATGTCCTGCACACCATCACTACTTCGACTCTTTCTTTTTCTTTGTTCCTTTACTATTATCTATGGAGTGAACTGAACAACACTAAAAGGACTTGGAATTCAATTTACTGTGGTACCTCTAGTTACAAACTTAATTCGTTCCGGAGGTCCGTTCTTAACCTGAAACTGTTCTTAACTAGAGGCATTCTTTTGCTAATGGGGCCTCTTGCTGCCACTGGACTGCTGGCACATGATTTCCATTCTTATCCTGGGGCAACGTTCTCAACTCGAGGTAACTCTTCCAGGTTAGTGGAGTTTGTAACCTGAAGCATTTGTAACCTGAGGCATTTGTAATTCGAAGTACCACTGTAATTACAACTGCCCATTTATCCTCAGCTGAACAGAGGGATGAAAGGAATCTGGAAATTTGCCAAGGAACTGATAAGGTTCATTACTGAGGCATTGGCAGTATGACAGATCACTCTTCTTCCTAGACTGAGAGGGAAAATTGCAGAAACAGATTGTTTACTGGGATACAGTGACTTTTGCAGCCTTTGTTAAAGTTGCAAAACAACTAAGCATGGGACTGAATGAGGGAGAAATCTCTGGAACAACAATGGAATATCAGCTCCGCTCAAGGCATGACGGATTATATAGCAACAACCAGGAAAAGATAGACATTACATTTTTCAAGGACAGGAAGAAACACCACAGACAGAATAAATGTCACACACAGGAAGAAAAAGGATTTAGTCTGAGATCCTCACTTGTAATTTTATAAAAAAAAATAATGTGTCAACACGAATAGAAGTTACAAATATTGCAGCTGTTGTATAATAAGGTTGCCAGATTTTTTTCAATGAATCCAGGAAAACTTTTCAACTTCCTACTAAATAGATTTGTAAATCTGGGGACTGTCACTGGGAAACGGGGACGTCTGGTAACCTTATTGTATAAGGGATTGTTATAATGACTGGAATGTGATTGAATCAAAAAGATCTTGGAATGCAGAAACAAAGAAAATAATCAAATCATCAATTCCAGCACATTATGTAAAGTATATAATTTGGTTAAATGATTGATATTGGTATTTGTATTATAAATTAGTATTGTTATAATTAGGCAGTTATGGGATTATAATTGAAAATTAATAAAAATTATTATCAAAAGATCTCCGGCAGTATATTTACCTGCTTCGTTCAAATGGACTTGGCAGTAAATAGTCAAGACACATGTTATATTTGCAGGATAAAACCAGTAACTATACACATTTATAGAAGAAAAAGGAGGATGTAGGGTCTGTATTCCCACCCACCCCAAAATAATACAAGGAAGAGTAATGACAATGATGTAGCATTTAGTTGAAAAGATGAAAAGCAACAGCCCAGCACTGGAAGCTAAGAGTTCCCTGGGAAGAGGGACTAGTTGTTAACTCACTCTGGAAATCCTAGCTCTGTGAATAAGTATCTCCTAACATCTCTCAGCATCCTTAAAAAATGCAGCGGCAAGGATTCTTTGGGAGAAACTGTGAATATTTAAAGTGCTATGATACAGCTTTAAACATATAGTACAAATGAGGTCAGCTTCAGAGATAAATAAATGAAAGCCATAAAATAAAAGCAGTACAATAAATAATAATGAGAACATCACTCTGAGAATTTAGAGCAATTCGTGCAAACCATTTTGCAGGGATCCTGGCAACGGTCAGTGTAAAAAGAGAGAGCTTATCCATTGTGCAGAAGTTAGTTTCTGGCAACATGCTTTTAGTGGGATGTTTTTGAGGCAGGCCCCTCACCTGCTAATTAAACTAAAAATAATGCTACAATAAACAAATTTACTTTGCCAACATAGCAATATAGTAGAAGAATAAAAGTCTGATTCTTTAAACTTTTTTTCTTATTAGTTGTTCTCTGTTGTTCAGCTGGGGCCTGAACAAAATGATGTAGCACTTAGGGGCAAAAATGCAACCCAGTAACCCAGCACTGGAAGCTAAGATGGAGAAGATCTCCACAGCTACCATGTCTTTCCCTCTTGTGCTCAGGTAGGTTGGAACAAAGGACAACCACACACTGCAAAAGACCAACATGCTGAATGTAATGAACTTGGCTTCATTAAAACTATCTGGTAACTTGCGTGCTAGGAATGCCACAGTGAAGCTGGAAATGGCCAACAAGCCCATGTAACCCAAGACACAATAAAACATGGCAACTGACCCTTCATTACATTGCACAATGATTTCTCCAGTTACTGAGTGCATGTCTAAATCAGGGAATGGGGGAGAGGTTGCCAACCACAAGGTACAAATACTTGCTTGAATAAGTGAGCAGGAAAGGACAACAGACTGTCCCTGTCTTTTCCCCATCCACTTCCTCATGCTGGATCCTGGCTTTGTGGCCATGAAAGCTATCACTACAGTGGTGGTTTTGGCCAATACACAAGAAACAGCCACTGAGAAGATGATGCCAAACACTGTTTGTCGGAGAAGGCAGGTCACTTTCCCAGGTTTGCCAAGAAATAGGAAGGAAGATAGGAAGCAGAGCAGGAGGGAAATGAGGAGGGTATAGGTGAGGCCTCGGTTGTTGGCTTTGACAATGGGTGTATCCCTGTGCTTAATGAAAATTGTTAACACCAAGACTGCATGAATGGAAAGAAAAACAGCAGTGAAGGCTAAAGTGATTCCTAAAGGTTCTTTATAAGAAAGAAAGGTTATAACTTTAGGCAAACATTCATCTTTCTCCTTACTTGGAAATTGATCTTCTGGGCATGTGAAACAGTCATCCATATCTTTAAAAAAATGGAAATTTCTCATATCAGTATTTGTTGCCTATGAACTGTTCTCCACTCTACCTATTATATATCAGTTATAACATGTATAACCTCTGCTTGATGGTTTCAAGTGTGACAGTAGTAATTTGAAAAGCCAATGTTCATATTGTCTCAATTCTGCTAGACTGGTGACTGGGAGTGGCCGCCGGGACCACATAACACCGGTCCTGAGAGATCTGCATTGGCTCCCAGTACGTTTCCGAGCACAATTCAAAGTGTTGGTGCTGACCTTTAAAGCCCTAAATGGCCTCGGTCCAGTATACCTGAAGGAGCATCTCCACCCCCATCGTTCAGCCCGGACACTGAGATCCAGCGCTGAGGGCCTTCTGGCGGTTCCCTCATTGCGAGAAGTAAGGTTACAGGGAACCAGGCAGAGGGCCTTCTCGGTAGTGGTGCCTGCCCTGTGGAACGCTCTCCCAGCAGATGTCAAAGCAATAAACAACTATTTTACTTTTAAAAGTCATCTGAAGGCAGCCCTCTTTAGGGAAGTTTTTAATGTTTGATGCTGCACTGTTTTTAATATTCAGTTGGAAGCCATCAGGTGAAGTATTCACAATCCTAAATTCCATTATGCTGTTAAGAAGACATCTCGAGGCAGCTCAGTGACTCTTCAATGTCTTAAATCATTAACCTTGGAGTAATATGTTCCTTCCTTGAGCAGTGACATTTTCCCCATGCAAGTCTTTCCTGAAACCTTTGACACTTTTCTGGTCCCCTTCCACTATGCAATAGAATATAGAGATAGCTTATTACCAGGCCTGTGCAGAGGGGAAGGGCTACTGCATACACTTGCCCCAGGCCTTGGAGGACTATGTCACAGGCATACTCTCCAACATTTCTCCGATGAAAATAGGGACATCCTATTCCATAATAATAATAATATTTCAATACCACCCATCTGACTGGGTTGCCTCAGCCATATATGTAGGCGGCTTTCAACATATATAAAAACATGATAAAACATTAAACTTTTTTAAAACAAAAACAACCTTCCCTATACTGGGCTGTCTTTAGATGTCTTCTAAAGGTTGTACAGTTACTTATCTCCTTGGTTCAGGGCTCACATAACCCTATACCCTCTATAGGGACACCCTAAGCAAAAGTGAGACATTCCAGGAACAAATCAGAAACCGGGACGGTTTCTGTAAATCTGGGACTGTCCCTGGAAAATAGGGAAACTTGGAGGGTCTGTGGAGGGGAAAGAGAGTGGGGGCTCCAGGGGCCTGCCACAGATTTATTCTAACAAGACTCCCACTCCCGACCTCAGATATGCCTACTTTCTATCAATGAGAAGAGGTTATCTACCGAGAAATCTGTGTGCAGGAAGGAGAACCTCACTCCACACTTTTCTTGCTGCTCTCATCCACCCCAGTCTTTCTTGAGGATCTATGCTGTGGTTTTTAAACCCCCTCCTGTATCCATTCCAGAATGGGAAAATCTGCCCTTTCAGAAAGACCACTGCCACTATCATTCTGAAATTTGTCAGTCTTGGTCCTTTTAGAAAGAGTAGCCATATCTGTGGATGTCATAAACATTTGCAAAGGATTAAAGAGATGCTTCCTCTAAAACAAAAAACAAAAAAAACACCTGCACACACAAAAGCTTGTCCATTTGATGACACTTTAGCAGCCTTAACACACTCTGGTGGGGTCCCTATGTATGTAAATTGCACCCAGTTTTCTGTTGCATTATACTTGTATGCATTGAAATATGAAATTAAGTAAGAATTTTCGTAAGCATTATTTTTTATTTCTTAAAAATTCACATATTCATTCTGAAATGGTGCATAACAGGGGACTATATGCCATACTATATAGGGTGTCATGATTGCAATGGGGAACACCTTTTTATAGCACTTTTTGCTTTCCACTCGAATTATAGAGAATTTGCAGACTTTCTGCTCCAGTGAATGGAATATTGCTTTCAAATGTTCAGAAAGGGTGGAGAAATGTTGCTATTTATATAGACAGGGTTTTTTGCTTTTAAATAGTCATCTGACACAACTCTTTCAATTTGCCCTGTGTAATGGAAACATTGGGGTGCTACATAACCTACCCAGCTGATTGGAAATCTTCCTCTCTGGACATGGAGTACAATCATAGCAGCAAAATTTCTCCCCTTCCTTCCTTTTCTTCTGGTTACCAGGGTGGCAGTAGTCATTGCACAAAGAAATGGGCATCACCTATCAATAACCATGAAAGGTGTTACAAAGGGAAATTAAAATAGTTAGATAGAGAGATACTTCAGTTGTCAATCTTGGTCTAAACCTCAGATATTTTAAGGACATAGTGACACTCTATTGGGCATTCAGGAAAATACCGCTGATAATATAAATCAGGGGTGCCAATTTGAATAAAATATGGGGGGCAAGTAACCCCCCCCCAATGCTCCATTTGAATGGCAATGCCCACACACATACTAATCACTGGAGAAACCAAAAGGAAAGAAATAAAATGAAAAAAAAAAAATTCAATATGAACCACAGAATTCTTTTTCAAGGCAATGATATACAGTTATCTCTGTGATCAGGGCTGAGTCAAAGATTTCATTCATGGTTTAGGGACTTCCAGGTCTGCTGCAGGCTATGGTGGATGACAGGGATCGCTCATCCTGAGTGACCCGATTCTGCAAGGAGGTGGGAAGGGAGCATGGGCAAAATGTCCTGGCTGAGAATTGCAAAAACTAAAGGAATGAGACAAGGCTGCCCGTTGTCACCCTTGTTGTTTATATTAGTTTTGGAAGTAATTACACAAAGAATAGGATGGAATCAAGAAATTAAAGGTATAAGAGTGGGACAGAGACAATGTAAACTAAAAGCTTTCGCAGACAACGTGGTGATATCTGTAGAAGAAGCAACAGAGTCCATCCCATAAATATTACAAGAGATAAAAAAATGTGGAGATGTAGCAGGTCTTAAGATTAATAAACACAAAACCAAACTCTTGGTAAAAAAAAGATATGAATGATGAGAGTAACAATAAATTACAAATGTGTCAGGTCTAAAGGTTGAAAGGAAGGTCAATTATCTAGGTGTATGGTTAAATAATATAAATCTGTATAATGATAATTAGTTAAATACCTGGGAAGATATGAAAAGAAATTTACAAATTTGGGACAGAATGAAACTTTCACTGTTAGGTAGAGTGTTGACTATAAAAATGAATGTATTATGAAGAATGTTATCTTTGTTTCAATCAATTCCAGTGATTGGCAAGACAAGTGCTGAATGCATGGTGAGAATTGTAGTCCCTGGGGACTTGGAGCCAGTGCTGCATTATTTTCTCTTGGCATGATCAAGCAGAATACTGCCCAGACAAGCAGCAAGGCAGCCCTAGGCTATAATGCCATTGACATTGATATTGCCTTCTGCTCATGTCTTCATCCAGCCATGCTAGAATCCATACCTGGTTGAAACCACTTTGCCAAACAATTGTATCTTCATGAATGATGAGTTCTTTTCCTTCAGGAACATCTGGCTCAATCCAACCAACTTTCACCCTCTGGAAAGAGTTATTTGGAGATATGACCATGTTTATGATGTCAAAGCCGCCTCCCATTTCCCATTTGTCATTAAAGGAAATGGTTTCCCCAGCTGAGTTGTTAAATGAAATCTTGGGAAGAAAGTGATGGAGCTGAGATAGAAGGAATAAATAAAAGAATGTGCCATGTAAATAAATTGGAGAGTTCATCTAATGTCAGATAGTGACTTCTAATGTTGTTGGATTACAATTCTCACCATGCATTCAGCATGACTAAATGTCAGGGATTATGGGAATTCATCCTGCTTTGTATATTCATACTTCTGATGCTTAAAGAAACATAAAAATATAAAATGCTTTCTACCAATAAGATGCCCAACTCCTTTTCCTCAGAGATTATTGCAGGAGAAAGCTGAATATAGTCTCACCTTCTACTAATTTATTGAAATAAAAATGCTTCATTGTAGGGACATTACCTGCCAAGGCTGAACATCTTGAAGATCAGTATTGAAACCTTTCTCATGGGCTCTCTGCTTGGATCGAGACAAGCCCATAACATGCAAAGAATGAGCCACAGCATAAACACCATTATAGATACTATAACTGTGGCCAGTCATGAGGAGCTCAAAGTGTGGCCCAGAAAGACTCTCCAGACTCTCCTCCCCGGTACATGTTTGGTCAACATCCATTGCCACATTGGGGTTAAGAAGTACACAGCCAAAAGCTTCCTCCCAAAGTCCTTCAGAAAACCGTCTGTCTGTGGCCCATAAGGCTTTATGGTCTGAGAAAATTCTCTAAACCCCACAATCTCTTTGGAGTGGATTGTAAATGAAATTGCACCTTGAAACATCTGGAGACCCCAGCCCTTTTGATGGCCAGTTAATATGAAATCTATCTGGGTTGTCGTAATCCACACCTTTCTGAGTGATGTGTTCTCCTTGTTTCCAATGTCTCGTATAAATATAATAGTTCTCAGCCATGGTATAGTCAATGATTCTCCATATATAATAAAGGTAGTCACTATTTTATTTGTGTAATGTACATAAACTTTGTGGCTATATTACCAAGTTCCTCCAAGCTATCCCAGTGGGCTATTTGTGGTATTCTTTCTGTGAATGCTGAGCAGATCGCATACTGAGAAAATAATGGCTCCAGCGTCTGCAAGAAATGTTCACCACTGCTATTATCAACTAGAAGAAGCCCAACCCATGTCCATTTGAAATATTGGAGTAACCGGATAATTCCCATATACTGCTGGGTTTCATTTGGGACGAGGGGTAAAAAGGATGGACCTTGAGTAATATGATTCTCTTGTGGGGCAAATGAGCCATATGTGAGCTGAAAGAAAATGGACAGATATTGCAAGGAAAAGTTAGGAGTGACTTTATGCTCCCGATTATACAAGCATTATTTCTTTAATCCATCTTTGCGTGCCTAGAGTTAAAGATAACACTTCTGGTGGAATTTCCCAACATAGAACATATTATTACTACTACTATTTATTGGTTGCTTTCTTATCAAGATAATTCAAAGTGACTTACAATATTTAAACAACAACATTCTTCGAAACCAGTTTAAAAAGAAAAAAATCTAAAGGCAACACTATTTTTTAAAGGCTGGATTAAAATATCCCAACAACTCAAAGAGGCCATGGACAATTAAAAGTTAAAAAAAAAGTAAAAAAAAATCAACATTAAGTTCTAATGGAAGAATAAATAAAATACCTTAGATTAGGTATTAGGCTGATGTTAACTGGAATAACGCTGCTTTTGTGAATTCACTCCTTTTGAACTACAAAATCAAGTTTGACATGAGAAAGAAGAGCCTAACTCACTCTCACACACAAACTCAAAAATACAGAGAGAATTCCTACCTGCGGAACCTTATAGAAACCTATAATATCTGCCATGAGGTTAGAGGTATCAGAGCCAAGTCCGCCAATGATAGCCATGAGGTTTTTCTGTCTGTCACACTGGTAATTGGGGACAAATCTATGTGATTTGAAGAGCACCTCCAAAGTGGTATGATAAGTCATCCTTGCATCATAGTAGCTGTCATAGATGTGGAATCCAAGTGTGACATTAGGTAGGATCTTAGGATTCTCGTTGATTTCGTTCACAGCAAATGCCAAGGCGAGGATGTGCTGGTAGAATTTTGTCACCATTCTGCATATAGAGGAAGAATTTAGTCATCCCTTTGTCTATCAAGGATAATTGGTACTATTATATCACAATATTGGTGATTTGCATCTCAGATTGTAATAAACTGTATTTTGCATTACACTAACTGTATTAGTGACTAATAAAAATATTATTCATCTCAAGTAAATGAGCTATGTTTCTAGGCACCAGGCAAAAACTTTCCTCTATAGCTATGCCTTTGGCCTTTAACTATCTGTGGCCTTGTAGAAGTGGGTGGGATGTTGTTAATGCATTTCTCTTGGTTTTCAGTAACTGTGTTCAGGTGTTATCTGTGTGTTTGTCTATAAATTGCTTTGGGATGCCGTGGGCAAGAGAAAGTGATTTACAAATTCAATAAATGTTAAAAATAATAAGTAAAAGTGTGATTTATCATACATCAGCATGACAGTATTTCTGCTCTCCAGATCAATCTTCTTCTTCTTTGGAGATCACTCGTAGCCGAGTAAGATTGTCTTCCATAAACACAGTTTTAACAATGAGTCCGTATCCAGAATACAAGGTAGAGCTTTGAAGGAACAAGACCAAAAGATACCACGAACAAATTAAGGAGCAGAAAAGAGCAAAATCTTTTACATTTAGGAGGACAAGTGGGATACTTGCTTATTTTCAAGATGGGATTTTTGCCGAGGTTGATCAGGGTGAAAGGTTGAGACTGCTTTTTTGTCTTCTGGGAATAAATCAATATATCTGACTTTTGGGAAGTAGTGACTGATGTTAATTGTAATCTTGCTTTCCTAAATGTGTTATGATCTTATGTGTGTATGGAATATAAAATATGTTAAATATTGAACACATTCTGAGTTGCTTCAAGACCTTTTAGTGTTACAATTGACAAGCAAGTTGGAGTAATATTTATATTAAGAGCAGACTTTTTGTGCAACCTTAGTTGACAAATATACTTTCAAGTTGATACATTAAAGAACATAGTGCACAAGGTATTAAAAAAATCCAAGAACATAAGAAATTTATCCTGATAGAATGATGCAACAGAAAAACTGCAATAAAATAGAGGAAAATGCAGTATCTGACCATTGGGGCTCTACTGTGAATACAGCAATGAAAGCCCAACTTCAAGCAGTTTGCTTGCTGATCAACAAAGTGGCTTTGTTTTAATCTCATTTTCATTTCCTGGTTGTTAGCATTGAAAAATAGTACATAAACCATCTATACCTAACCAACTTTAGCATTCACATCTTAGCTAAAAAGAGAATACTTCTCATGGAAGTATTTTTTTTCCTTAAGTGTGATAGGACTGACTTTGAAAATTTTAAATTGATTCACCCTTTACCCCAGTCTTTCCTCTTTAGGTGTACCACAGAAAAGTTACATGCATCTGCCTACATGGAAATTTGGTTTAAATAAATAAAAATGCAATCTGTCTCCCAAAACTCTTGTCACATTCAAAAATGGAAACAGTTCTCACTATAGAAAAGTGAATGGGGGGGCAGTGCAAAAGACACACAGTGTGAATATGGTTGGCTAAGCCTACACTTTTTTGGAGGGGGGCATTCTGTTATAAAAAAATATTTTTTGTGTGTGTGATCTAAACAGTTTTAGAAGATGCAGAGCCAAAAGAAGCAATTCCTTACTCTGGAACATCAAACAGATTCTGGTAAGGATCTTCCTCGAAGGAAAATTCATGTGGATGATAAACTATCTGAGAAGCAATTCCACCAATGAAGAGAGCTCCTTTCTGGAACCACTCATGTGGGACAGGGTGGGGATCAGCTGTGGGACACTCCAGAGTATCGACTTTGGACACCATAGCAGTCAGCAAAGGTAGGAACACCAGAAGGCAAAGCATCCCATCAGCGAAGCTTCCCTCTAGAGTGAGGCTCTGCTCTGTTCATCAGCAGACACTGCCAGATATAACAGACTACATTGGTTTGTAGCTAATTATGGCAATACCTGTCCTAAGAGAAATATATCAGCCATGGATTTGATTGAGATACAAATGAATGACTTTACTACTAGCAGATATTTTCAAATTTCAGGTCTGGCTGATGTAAACTGGAATAAAGCTGGGATAAAGAGGTTTCACTTCTGAAACAAAAATGATAGAGCCCTGCCTACTTCTTGTCCCCACTCTCAGCTGCACATGGCACAGAGGGAGTATTTATAATCATTTTCAGACTTACTTGTCAATTGTTTTCTACTTTCCTTTGGGCAGGTGAAGAAGTCATGAGGGTTTCCATGATCCCAGTGGTCAATAATCAGTGCTTTAGCATTTGGCTCCCGATTAGCATTCCTTCCCCTACCCTCCCTATTGTAAATATGTTAGTTCCTTTTCCAGATCTGATAATAGGTCTCCACTGTTCCTTGTGGCACAAGTAGCAGGCAGCAAAGAGATTCCCACAGGAACTGAACTCCAGGAGGGAACAGTGTTCAACAATAGCATTTTTAACATTTTAATTATATTTGAATGGCATAAGCTTTCTACCATACTATGACAAAATAGGAAAAAATATAGGATATTCAATTTTTATCTATCCCCTTATTCGACTATTTTGATTCTGAAGGGATCTGGAATAATATTTCTCCTGACTGGAATAATATTTTTTTTTCCCAATATGGTGAATTTTTTATATGTGATTAACTGATTTGACCTGATCTTCTAAGGATTTACTTAAAACCTGCACCTTATATACTTTGGGATTCATTTATTTATTTATTTGGAAACTTAGTTTGGACTTGGCTAATATGATGGATTAAGACTCTTCGGTCCTCTTTTGTTATATATACACTTATTTTCCATTTCTGCCTGCCCTTTCCTCTCTAGTTATATAATGACTTGGATTGCTTCTGTGCTGTGGTGGAGTAGACTTTAAGACGAAGCTGGAGATTAGGATGTTTTCATTTTTCTTTATTTTGTAACTCCAGTGGCCTCCTTCCTTATTTTTATCTTTCCCCCTCTTTTTTTCATTTTCTCTCTCAAGATTTGGAACTTGCTTATTTATTTATTTATTTATTTTTATTTCTATCCATTTGGATTTAAGCTAAAAGAAGAAGCTGAACATTGGGGTAGATTTATTTTTTTTCTTCTCGTATTTCTTTCTTTGAGTCTCTGAGCCACAGGATTTATATTGAGAGAGGAGTTAAAGAGAAGGCCGACAGATATTTTTAGAAGAAGAAGAAGAAGAGTTTGGATTTGATATCCCGCCTTTCACTCCCCTTCAGGAGTCTCAAAGCGGCTAACAATCTCCTTTCCCTTCCTCCCCCACAACAAACACTCTGTGAGGTGAGTGGGGCTGAGAGACTTCAAAGAAATGTGACTGGCCCAAGGTCACCCAGCAGCTGCATGTGGAGGAGCGGAGACGCGAACCCGGTTACCCAGATTACGTGACTACCGCTCTTAACCACTACACCACACTTAGAATGGTGTTACTTTGTTTGGAGAACTTACTCTGGTAGTAAGTAAACATAAGGCACGCTGTTTATGCTAGCTAAAGGAATGGATACTATTTTTAAAAAAAATACTGATGTTTTACACCTTGAAGGTCATGATAACAGATTTGGCTGGCACGTAAATCTGTGGTATAAGAAGGTGAAAGTCCATAAAGCTTTTTTGAACCATGTAGTAAGGAAAGCAGTGAATGACGTATGGAGAAAATATATATAGAGATATATAAAATAGAACAAAAAAACACCATGGTGGCTTTCCACACTGGAGACAATATCTGAAAGAAATATATGAATATGAGAAATGACTGAGTATCTTATAAAGAAGTATTAATGGAAATAGTTCATGAATTGAAATTAAAGGGGTTTGAAGATATAAGAGGATTTTTAACTGATTGCTTACAATGCCATCAACTTAATAATATATTTAAGATGGACAGAAAGGTTTTTTAATGCAACCTCTAAATTTGAAAAGGAACTGTTAGAAAATTAGAATAAATTACTTTTAAAATGTATAAATTATTAGAACAGTAAAAGAAAGATGGACATGTCAAATCATTGATAGTTGTAGTTAAAAGCTGGACTATGTTTTTTTTTTTTTTTTTTTGAAGATTTGATAGAATTGGATTAACAGAGAAGATTCAGGAGAAAAAGTTAACATAAGGACCCACAAAAGAGGAGGAGGGAAGTTAAAAGGGGATTTGTGGATATTGTATAATTTGTTCTCTTCGTGGTTGTTTGTAATCTTCCAAAATGCTTTTATCTTTGTTCTCCTTTTCCTTTCCAGAACACCTCTCACCTAACAACACCTCCCCATCCATCTCCTATCCAAAGTCTAGTTATTCTAGAGGCACTCCCCCCCCCCCCAAGAGCAATCACACACACGCTTAGCGAGTGTAAGGCTCTATATTCCAAACCCCGCTCTTCAACAATGAGAACATTCAGGAGCAGATTGTTAAAAGTTTGAGCTATGCCACTATGTTTGCAGACAAGATGCTAAGTTAGCAGACAGGTGTTGTCAGCAGTTAGCTGCAGACGGGAGTTAGCAACAGAATAGGAGTAGCAAAATAATTTTCTGGAGAGTTTAGTTGACTAAATATCTCCAATACTCATACTACCAATGTAAATCAATTGGTAAATCAAAAGGAGCACCTTGTCTAAGCACCCCTCACCTCCCAGGGTGGGCAGGGCTATACCCTGCTCCACTCCTGTTGGTCATTCCGCAGTCACTTGGACCCTAAAGCCAATCGCTTGGCTTGGGGGGTGACTGTGAAGCAATATTTAAGCCTTGCATGTTGTTTACCTTCGCGCAACAGATCACCCACCCACCCTTTGTTTAGGTAAGTCAGGCCCTGCTATGGGCTTCGTTGGTCACTTGTTTTGTAAGGGGGACCTGGCAGGAATTTTTCCATCTGGCAAATTGGCAGGGTTTTTGTCTACCACCATAGCAACCGTCACAACATTGTAAGGTTTGGCAGTTAAGCATTGGATCAGCAGTGGTGGGGAGGGGAGGTGTGGCCATCACCTGCCCCTCCAAGCTCAAGGGTATTCCGTTAAAGGGATC